TCCTCATGGTAGCACTTATCTGTCTCAAAAACAAGAACCATAATTCAGGCAGACAGAATGACGTGATTCATATTAGAGTTTATTAGCTACCACTCAACAGCTAGAACAAAAAGGACGGAATCTCTGTAAAGAAGAAAACACAGCTTAGGGACCACAAAACTCTGAAGGAGGGTGATTACGAGCGTGTGAGTCACTAACCTGGTTAAGTTCAGTAGGCAGAATCCAGTAGAGTCAGGCAGACAGATCAAAACAGAGGCAAGCAAGCTCAGAGATCCAAGGGCATACACTAGTCAGGATCAGGTTATCAGAACAAATAAACTGGGTACGCTAGAGCAGCGGTCCCCAACCACCGGGCCGCAGACCAGTACCGGTCCGTGGGTCATTTGGTGCCAGGCCGCACCGAAAAAAGTATATATATATATAAAATGCCAGTCGTATAATTTTACTTGATCATATTCCACATGACGCCTACAAGTGTGCTCTCCAACATTCACCTCGTACATCAGCGGTGATAACCCTACTGTGAGGTAGGAGGCACAATCTGAAGCCGTTTTACAATAACATCCAAAGTGGCTGCAAACAGCCAATTAGTATTTACTGTGTGATAGAAGACAGAATCAAACTGAGGAGAAACCCCATGAGTTATAGAGTAGGTCAGTTTTAAGGATGTACTTATGTTGAAAATAGTCATTACATTAATATTAGTGGTGGGCACAGATTTGTTTTTAATCTTAATGTAATCTTGGAATTAATCTAGATCGATCTAAATTAAATTCGCTCATTTGAATTCCACCAAAGGCATTTATATGTGTGTGCTACCTCCAGAAATTAAAATAACAGGTTTACTTTTTTATATGTTTGTAAAATCACACGTAATCTTTGTCTTCTTACTTACCTGGCAGAGATAGGTAGGTGATTGAAATAAGTAATAAGACCAGACATCTGTGCCAAGATCATAACAGAAAATTATTATTAAAAGTTGTTTAAAAAAAAATTTAAGAATATGTGACTACTTTCTATTTACATCAATGAATATTTCAAAATCAAAGAGCCAAATTAAACTGTATGTAGAATTTATGTGCAAATTCAAAATTTGAAATGTTATCAGTCGTGATAACTAATGAAAATAGTACTTCAGGAAATAGACACAGAAATAAAGGCAATTCTTTCCTCTTTAATTTAAAAAAAATGTATCTACCTGTACTTTGAATCCTGCCTTTAAAATGTATTACCAGCATGTATTTGGTTGGTTTGGTATTGTAAGTTGAGTTTCTTTAACCGTTGGAGAAATTGGCCATTTAATCAATTTAAAGTAAATATTACTGAGAGCCGCTGTCATAAAATTTGGTATTTTCTCTGTACATGGTCCTTATTTATAATAATAAAATAAAACAGGCTTTATTGACAGATTATTTATTATTGACTGGATTAGGGCTAAAACATTTACCAGATTATTATTATTGTTATTAATCCATTATTGAAATAATCGTTAACTAATATAATAACTTATTAATTGTTGAATGGAGTATAGAGACTATAAAACATGGGGCAACCCACTTGGAGTAGTAATTATATCAAAAATATGTAAACATTTTGCATTTAAGATTTTAAAAAAATGTCAGTATGTTCAATCCAGAACTCCTAAAGTGGAAATATTTTTGTTTCACCCGGTTTAATTTAGTGAAAACCTTTGGTGTAAATGCAGTGGATTCAGTTTTTTTGCATAAAGCAGCTGTACCTGTTTTGACCATCAGAGGCCCCTCTCTTTTCTTTCGACAATTTGTTCTTGATCTTTTTGACTTATTTTTGTTCTTCTTGATGTAAACAGAAGCTGTTGTTACCATTGTTGGTTGAAAGACAAGATATTTATTAGAGAGGGTACCCCCCATCCCATTCGGAGCTGCAAGTGGGGAAAGTGTTCTACGGTGCATCAATAAAGAAACCATTAATAGTTAAAGAACTAGATTCCTCAGATGCTTGAATGGGCAGCAAAATTGGTTATCCGATTTTAAGTTAGAAAAATATCCGACAGATTAATTAATTTGCAAAATAACCGTTAGTTGCAGCCCTTAATTGAATATTTGTTTGAAAAATAAAAATATCTGTGATTTTTGCATTTCTTTACACATTTCCTTTGTCTGTGCAGCAGGAAATCCAGTTGTCCTGTAGACAATGAGGGAACCATTACTTTTCCTTAGCAAGTGAAAAGCCCCATCCAGCTGCATTGAGGGTAATTGCATGGGTGTACTCACATGCTGGATCTTTTCGAGATTGTCATACCATATGGCTGTACAGATAAGAAAGCATAATATCCAATCTCTTTAGCCAAAGACTGGGTTTCAGCTCTAACCACAGGGACAGCAGTACTTTCCCTCACCTCCAGAAGAGCCTGTTTGACTTTCCAATCCCTATAACTTACCCACTCAATGCTTTTTATCCTGCTTTCCCACCTAGTCTCTAAATTCAGAATAGATGTATACCAAAAACCAATCAAAAGTATAATAAGTGATCATACCAGAATATTTATATGGATGCCAACAACAAAAAACATTATAAAAAACACTTTATAAAGAGAAAACATAATTTCATGTACAGGTTTAATTTTTGTACATAAATGTTGCCCTTCTGAGGCTTTGTGAAGGCAAATCTGTGTTTTGCGTGGTCCAATAATATGGAAGACCAAGTCTGCCTTATTTAAAAATAAATACATAAATAAATAAATGCTCAATAAATAAATAAGCATACAATTAATTGCCCCCCAAAAATACAATAAACGAAATGAAATTATACAGTGAGACATAAATGTATTTTCTTTTAATTAGCTTCTTTTATTCACCTTTTTAATAATTACCTTATTTATTTATTGTCCTTTATATCTTCAACTATATTTATTTATTACTTATTTTTTTAAGTATTTATTTATGTGCATGATATAATGTTTTTGTCTGTTTTATTCTTCCTTTTTTACCCTCTTTATTTCTTCAACACTATTTATTTCTGCCTGTTGTTTTTACATTTCTGTACGCATTTCTGCCTCATAAAAAAATTGCATTTCTGCTCTAGCTGCCTCTATTGGCCAGCCGCCACTAGGTTTTAACATGTTTCAGGAGGATATCCAGAGAAGAGCCTGAATAACTGTGTTAATGCCCAAAGTAGCCAAGTGCATCTGGTGAGTGTTTGCAGCTTCTGCTACTACCAGACTCAAGGTGTGGGCACCACATGGAACAAAAAAGTATTTCAAGTTCAGCTGAAGCAACCCTAACCTGACACCTTTATCATTATTATTTTTATTTTTTATTTTATTTCAATTCATGTAGGTACTGTTTTCAGTATTTAGCCCTTCTTGTTATGGAAAAATCCACCTTGGGTTTTGAAGGAAAATGCCACTTATCAATTAATTGTTAGTTAATTGATAAGATCAATCAGCTTTAGATTAAGTTGTTAATCAATTATTTGTATCCCTTGTTCCACATGATAGAAAGGCGACCGTGGCTGTGAAAACCACAGGTTACAACCAAGCTGTGCAGAATACCATGTCTGAATGCACATTATGTTGAACTTTGGAGCTGATCAGCTGACCAAGAGCATTATACCGCAGTTAAAAAAAACTGTAAAGCCAGCTTGGATTTTGTTTAAATATGTAACAATGTCCAGTTAAAGCAACAGCCTTGCATGAACTGGGCAGTTTCTGTATTGTGGTTGAATATAAGAGTGGTAAGAAAACAATCTTTTTCAAATAAACCTTATAAACCATCAAACCCGGCACACATTACATAATTTACTATAGGTGACATGATATTTAAATGCAAACAGTGAGCATCCAAAATTAAGAAACCCCTAAGGAAAACAAAGTGAATTATATATTAATTTTAAATCAGAATTTTCCTAATGACTCAAATTATGCCCAAAACAAGCCAAGATATCTTCTCCCATATCTCACCAGCTGAGCAATAACAAATGAGGTGACTATGTAATAAAAGTGTCATTTCTACATAAGGGACCTGAAAGGAACAAGGTTTTTTTATTTTATTGATGATAGGAATCACGTCTGAACTTGCGACTTTCCAGACATCATCTAGGTTGACATACTGAAGGGAGGCCCATGTTGAGCCAGGGTGAGCTGCCAATTTCTGTTGGTTAAAGGTTTAGTGAAGGATGCTCTTTTTCCGGGTGGATCATCACAATAAGGGGTCCTCCTAATTGTCAATCAGTCTGGTCGTCCTACGCGCTTGTCCACATTTTCACTTACCGGTGGCGAGTCTGACATGGTGGAAAAATTGCAAATCTTCTCCAGGAAAGTAAGCTTGGATGAGGGATGCAAACAGCAACTTTTAAACAGAACGTGCCCACGGAGAAATGGGCTTTTGCATGCTCTCCCACAGGTTTAATAGGCATTCCCTTTCAGGAGCGGGTAAAGGTTGTGCATGTGCATTTTATTAAATTTATTTCAAGTCGAGAGGACTGGTCTTTTCAAAAATTCATGAAAACCCTCTACTATACCTTCAATGTACTTCTTTATGTTGCAAACTGCACTTTCTTCTCACTCATTTAGAAAAGCTATGAGTTATTTCCAACACCTGTCCTGTATGTTTTCTACATCTCCTACTTGGGCTGATGGAGTTGGGCTCTTTTGGGCCAAGGATCTTCTTTTTATTCAAAGGGGTTCATGGATGTGCTCCAAACTGTGCTCATTCAGAAACTATGCTCAGGCTGCCTCTTTTCCTCTGGCCACAAGATGGCACACCTTGATTAAATCAGGTGGCAGCCTTCAAATTTTAAACATAAAAAAATTCTGAATTCAATAGAATAACCTACATATAATAAATCTCACTGCCCAGTGTTTAGAGGTTAAACAGAGCCACAAATCCAATATGAAGACTGTCATATTGTGAGGATTTCAAGGAAAAATGCAAGCGTGTGAAAGCGAAAGAGGGGGAGGTGAGGAATACAGTATAATGAGAGCCTCCAGAGCTGAGAGAACCTCTCAGTGTGAGATGTGAGTGGAGGCAAAAGCATACGGAAGGGCTTCTGCCTTAGTGTAGAGTTTAGCTTTAGAGTTTATCCCATCATGCAGACTCATCAAAAGGTCACCAATCCTGAATGAATGAAACTCAGGTAAAGGTGGGTGACCTGGGAACTATGGAGAGGTTCTCCTGCTGCTGCTTTGCATGGATTCTTCTGAGTGGAAGTTTTTATCTGGTAAGTCTATTTTAACAGATTTAACAACTTTAATGGGAAATCAGTGGCTCCTGCAGATATTATTAGCAGTAATTTATATCTATTGGATCCCCATTAAACAGGTGATCTATTGTTCAAAAAGAAACATTCATCACTGGATAGAATACGCTTATTGTTAAATTTTCTATTTTTTATACTTAAAAAATGAAGAGCTTCAGTTAAGTTGGATTTATGTTCAACATTCCTAATTTAGTGCATCAACGTATTTCTTAATTAATATTATTGGTTGCAGGAAACATAAATTATTTTTTTCAGTCAAGGACATACAGTCACAATTAGATACCTTTTTTTTATCCCTTTTTAATCAGTGTCATACATTTTAATTTTAAGCAATACATTTGAAGTTTGGGCTGGCTAACAATACCAAAACAGCTTTAATTAATTTTGATTTTAAGAACTAGGTGTAGGGTTTTGCAGAAGTTGTCACTCATCCAAATAGATTTAAACACATAAATGCAGGCTGAAATATAAGCATCTTTCTGTACAGAAGTTTGGATAAAAATCCCTGACAAGTTTGCAGAGCAATTTCACATGTTAAGTAGCCATTAAAATGGAAATTATTTATTCAAATTAATTAATTCAAATCGATTTTTTTGTGTTTGAGATACTTACTCCTAATTTAAGAAATGTTTTACTTATTTATAGATGCTTTTTGCAGTGTATTTGCAAAGTGGTTTAATTATGACAGAAAAGTCTAATCTTAAAAACATATAGATATATATTTAAAAATAAATACTGGGCAAGTATCTCGTCGAAACAGTCACCCTTAGATAAAAGGGAAACTTTTCAGATGAATAAGGAGCAAATAAAGAAGTATAACAATACAACAATCTCATCATCTCAAAGCTGCTGCTGTATCTCTGTCTTCACTGAAGTCAGTTAAACAGCAGCCTGTTCTTAGAGACAATCAAAGCAAAAACTGAGCCATGGAAACAAAACCAGCTAAAATGTAATCTTCCCACACATCAAGCCACATGTCTTTTATAGAAACTATTTATGACCAAAGAAGGTATATATACAGTATATAAGTTTTGCCACAATACTAGAAATACTGAAAAAAAAAAAATCAGTGTTACGTCCTTAAAACATATGAAAAACGTTCCAACTTTTAGGTTTGGTAGTGATAGTTTGGGTAGTGGAAGTGATGGCAGTATGCTGTGGGTATTTTGCATAAAGTGAAAGGAATAATAAAGCATCTTTTAAATGATTTAACTGTACAGGAAATTGGGAACACAAAATACAAGAAATGTATGCAATTCTTTCACTTGCTCTAAATAATTTTACCTTTCCTGACTCTTTTTTTTTTTTTTCATCACCACTTTTTCCCCGCGATTTTGGTGAGGTTAAGCATCTCTCCTCTAAAAACCTACATCTAGTGCTGGCAGCAAATTAAATACTACTCAGCCTCCTATATATTATTATCCATCATAGCGTTGATGCATAAAATCCAGGCTTTATATATAATGAAAAATTGCATTCTACCAGGCCCAGTAGACTGGTTGGATGCTAACATTGAGATGTTGGCTTAGTATATTCCACAGTTCTACCACAAAACAATAAGAAGATGTTTTAAGTTTTATGGACTTTGATTAACAGTCATATTAGCCAATATATAGCCAATTTAGATTAAATTTACCAACAAGAGCATAGGTCACTTAACGGCTGTGGTTTCTCTGTAACCTGCAAAAGGACATTTATCTAAGATAAAGATATTGTTTTGGTTGGTAGGTATGATTGTGAATCTATTTAGATAAGAGACATCCACCATTAATTCCAACTTGTGCACAAAAAAAGTTAAAATTAATCAAGAACATCCAGAACCAAATATTCTTAAGCCATTGCTGAGTGCATGTCTTACTAGTGTGTATTTAATGAATGCACTTGCTGAAAGCAGCTTAAAGCAGCTTTTTTAACTCAAAAATTCATTGCTCATAATTTCTCATTTATTTTTGTCCAGTTGGTTCTTTGTCAACACGAGAATCAGAGCAACTTCACCTCCAGCTACTCAGCATCTCTCCAACTCCAAAAAGACCAAAGGGAATATCGACAGCAGATCTGGGGACTTCAGACCAAGAGTTTGATTCAAAACTCCAAAGTGCTCAATAGCCCTTATGTTCCTCTATCAAAGCAGGGACTTTGGGAAGTCCTTGAAGGTAACTCCAAGTCCAACTCCAACCCTTCTTTAAAGATAAAGCTCCCACCCATCATGGATGTTCAAGGATTATCTAAACTGTCAAGATTGTTCACCTGGGGTGACTTTTATTCCAACATCAAAACTGTTAAGCTGAATTTGCTGATAATGGGGAAGATCGTGGACCACGGTAACGGTTCTCTTGGAGTCTATTTCCGTCACAACTCCACGGGGGTTGGGAACGTGTCCGTCAGCCTGGTCCCACCTATGAAAGAGGTGGAGTTTGACCTGGAGCGCCAGAGTGTGGTCCATCCCAAAGAGTCGAAGACGTTCAACTGCAGGGTGGACTACGAAAAAACCGAACGTAGCAAGAAGGTGATGCTGTGCAACTATGATCCATCAAAGACCTGCGACCAAGAACAAACCCAGAGCCACATCACCTGGATTTGCTCCAAACCCTTCCAGGTCATCTGTGTCTACATGTCTTTCTACAGCACAGATTACAGGCTGGTCCAGAAAGTCTGTCCAGACTACAACTCCCAGAACCCAGCCTACCGGCCCACAGGATAAACCTGGGTCCAGGTTAGGGGGGTGAAGAAAGACGCCTTAAAAAAATCAGAGGACCATAGTGTGAAAGTTTAACTTTTTAAAACTTTGTCCCAGAAAATATTTGATTAAACACTGTTAAATAGATATTTAGATTAGGTGTGCTGATAAAAGGATGGCTGACATTATGTTTCTGTAATAAGTGTAAATAAAAGTTAAAACTTAAAACACCCAAGTTGATGTAACAATTAGGTGACCGACTGATTTGCGACATTTGCAAAGGTGTAGAAATATGACCTTTATTGTGTATAATCTTTAAGTGCTGTTCATGTCACGCCTTCCCCATTTTTGGTTGTCTGGTTCCAGACGTATTTAAAACACTTTGTAGCCCACCTGTACATTTTTCGTCATTTCTTAAAAACGTGGCTGTGTAATTCCTATATACATATCTTCCATCAGGAGATGACAGAGGTATTTGGGTTGATCGGGGTTCATAATGTCAATGCAAACCTAAACAGAAGCAAAATTAAATAGAATAAGGTTGCAGCGATGCAGGTAGACCAGGGACAGTTGCAAAATAGGATGGCTGCAATGTCTTTTTTTCTCCAATCAGGAAAAGCTAGAGTGACTCATACTGCACATGCTAAGATATTGTTATACCAATGCCACTGTTTTTTTTTTTTTATCTAGCTCAAACCTATATAGGATAATCGAGTGATAAATTTACTTTTAGGTAATATAGTTAGCAAGTCTCAGGATCACACAGCTTAGTGTGATTTAATTACATCGGACAGAGAGAGGGAAAGCCGCCCCGTTTTGATATAAAATAACATTTTAAACATTTTTTTATTAGTTAGGTGGATTATGTATCCATCCATATCTTTGTACAACTGGGCATAAAATGAAATCGCAATAAGTAATTTCTTTCTTAAAATAAGTGAATTTTTTGAATTGAGGATGAGAATTTACATTTAAAATAACAAAAAACAATCGTATTGTCTTATTTCAAGTGCATATTATCTCATTATCTTATTTTAGCTGAAGTAAAACTACTCATTTTATTGGCAAATCATCTCATTTACCTGCTCAAATTAAGGCTATATACACTTAATTTAAGAAATGTTTTACTTATTCATAGATGCTTTTCGCAGTGTATTTGCAAAGTGGTTTAATTATGACAGAAAAGTCTAATCATATAAAAACATATACCGGTAGATATATATTTAAAAAAAAAATAAATGCATACCATAATCATATATCCTAATGGATTATGGAGTATTAATGGCAGTTTTACAGTTATGTATAAAATATTGCTCATTAACAGTTTTGGTTTCCGACGATGGTTTTAGAAGACTAGTTTTGTCAAATGTTAATTTTTTCTTCATTAATTCATGTATTAAAAACTGACAAAATAAGTCGATTGTCTTACAGATTCTTTATTGTTCCTATTTCAATGCAAGTCCACTGTATTGTATATTAATTTGAATCTTTGACATCTGCATATAAAGTTCACTTATCGGGACAATAAATTCTATTGTTTTCTGACCTAAGCTGATAAATAACACTTTGATGTATATATGTTTCAATTAATAATGGAAATTAAACATTAATACTTACGTATCTTAACAATGCAATAGAGTGTATTTGTATGTTGCAGCAATGCAGAAAAATGTTGGAAATGTCCTTGGGCCGAGGTCAGTTGCGACATCCTTTATAAATAATCATTTAAATTCTTTATGCATCAAACTAATTTCAGGAATAAAGATAAACACAAACAGCAGTTCTTTAATGGTGATTTTGCTTAAATAACACATGAGTAGAAGTGCGGTAGCTCTGCAATGCTTTAGGTGATGATGCACGTTCTTTTGTGCCCTCCTTGATAGGTTGATGATTCACTCTTTAGGGTATTTTGGTTCTTGTTCCACCTCAGTGTATGACTAGTTGAATTAATCCAAAGATTTTGCTTGATTAAAATAAATTCCTAATGTAAAAATCTTCCTTTTTTTCTCTTTACATAGAGCATAGTTGGTTTGATTAATTCTGTTCCTTGAATAAATTGAATAGACTTTAAAATGCCTTGTGTTTACTTAGATCACACTGTCTAACACAAATTATTTTGATGATGTGCAAAAAGCAAAAATAACTAAAGAGCTATTTAAATAATAAATACATTTTAGAGCACTATAATCTACAGCAAGCATCCCCAAACTCGGCCCTCAAGGACCCCTGTCCTGCAGGTTTTAGAGGTTTCTCTGCTTCAGCACAGCTGGTTATGATTGCAGTAGACCAAAAGCCTGTTAATCAGCTTTCAATTAAAATCAGCTGTGCTGGAGCAAGGAAACCTCTAAAACCTGCAGGACAGGGGGCCTTGAGGACAGAGTTTGGGGATGCCTGCTCTACAGAAAAATGTTTAACAGTCCAAATATTTTATGTTGGATTAAAAAATGTCATGTTGTAACATGCCCTCTATGAACCTCCACCATAACATGATGGAGGGTTTTCAGTGCCTGGATGATCTTATCAGGGGTTCAAATGCCCCTGATAGGGTCTCCCAGGGGCTTTGGGTGGAAGATCAGACAAAAAGCCCTTATTACGACAAATTAAGACGTGACTTTGCCCAGTATGACAGAGCTGGAATCTCAGCCTGTAGCCAGGCCTGGGTTTTCGATGGCTTCTACTCTGGAGGGACCCATGTGGAGTTCCCATTGCATGTTAGACTATGGCAGGGCTGCCCTCCATGTTCATAACTTTTATCAGGGTTCCTACAGCATAAGGCAAGTTAAATTCAAGACTTTTTAAGACTTTTTAATGCCAGTTGAAATAAAAATTTAAGACCAAATTCACAAGAAACACAAGAAAAACTTGCTTGCGACAACTTAACCCAAAGGTTTATTTTAACAACCACTGCACCAATGTTTCAAATTTTGAAAAGCTTCATATACAGGAAGAAAGCTAAAAACACACAAATGACAGATATATTTTAACAATTATTTAACTGAATTCACAAACTTGGTTTTAGCAGGGAACAAAACAAATCAGTTTTAAAGCCATCCGAACCAATAATTGGTGAGCCATTTTTATAAAAAAAAAATGGCTTTTATAAAAAAAAAAATAATAATAATAATCACTTTTAACGTTTTATTTAGATTACAAAAATAAATCGTAATAAAAATAATCCTATTTATGAGGTTTTAAAAATTAAGACCTACGAAAGACTGATTTAAGACATTTAATACCAATTAAGGCCTTAGTTTTATTTTGAGGAATTCAATGCCTTTTAAGACTTTTTAAGGACCCACGGGAACCATGTTTATGGAGAGGATTTCTAGATGCAGAAAAGGGCAGGAGGGGATCTGATTTTGGGAGCAGTGGTTTTCTCTCTGCCTTTTGCAGATGATGTGATTCTGCTTGCTCCCTCCTGTCAAGACCTACAGCATGCCCTTATGTGGTTCGCAGCCGAATGTGAAGTGGCCGGGATTAGAATAAGCTCCTCCAAGTCTGAGGCCATGGTTCTCAACCAGAGAAGAGTTCCTTCCTCAAGTGCAGTAAAGCCACATCTCCTCCACATCAAGAGGAATCAGCTGGCGTGGCTCGGACACCTTTGTCGGATGCCCCATGGTTTCCTTCCTTGGAAGGAGTTCCACATACATCCCTCCGGGAGGATGCCCCGGGGACGATCCTTGACTTGCCTGAGAGCACTGAAGGCTTCTCTCAACAGAGCTGGAAGAGATTTCTGTGCAGAGAAAAGTCTGGGAGCCTCAGCTGAGATTGCTGCCTAAAGAACCTGATTCCCTGATAAAATGACAAGAACTAGTACGAATTAGTAAAAATAGATAAACACTAAGAACAGCTATGTTTATTTAAACACTGTTGTAGGAAATGGGGGAACAAATTGGAAAAGATGTGAAATAACTTTAAAAGATTAGAGGATAAATATGAATATGTAACAATTTATCAATTAAAACTGAATAAAAAAATAAACATCTCTGAATTAATCATGTAAACCCAACAGCTAATAGAGCTTGGCCATTGTATGGGAAGCCAAGTAAACATCTTTACGTTGGAGAGGACTGGTTTTCCTTCCTAACCTACCACTGCTTCTACTTGGAAACATTTCTACAACAGGAAAGAGGTAAATAGACAAGCAGAGAGAAGCGTGAGCTGGGTTGAAAGAATAATCTTACAACCCAGCTCAAAGAAAGGAAAAAGTTACGGCTGTAAAGCGGGATTGAATTGTTTTCTCATATTCTCCTCCACCTCTCTAATCGGTAAGCCATCACATTTTACAAGTCGGGATATAAATATCCACAGTGATCAGGGGGAAAAGAAGGTAAACTAAACTAAATTCTTGTATCTCTTTTTCAGAAGAGACAAAGTAACTGTTTGGAAACAGTAGAACAAGGGATTGCTCACTCCATACAGACCAATCAGAGATATGCAGAAGGGAAGTAACAGTAATAGTCCATTCATCTATAGAGTACCTGTTAGTTTTTCTAATCTGAATACATTTACCCAAATTAAAGTCTGGAATCCCCCCAATTTCTTTTAAGATTAAGATTTTGGAAAGAGATAAATTCACTTTTCTGCATCTATAAACAAAGGAGGAGCAACAAAAGCCAAGGTTATATATGCTTTTTCCTAAGCTCTGCATTTGTGAAGGCTGCCATATAACTCAAGGAAAATGTGAAAATGTTATTTCATATAAAAAAAAAAAAAAAAGAAAAAATTCAAGACAAGGTCAGGACCACATTCAATACAAAATAGTTGTGGTTTATTTTTCTGGGAACAAAAAATGGCAACAGCTAAGTGTCACTTCTCAAAATCAGAAATATCTACAGGAAAAGAAACAACGGTTCCTTCTATCATTACCCTTTTCCATCAGGTTGAAATGATAACTTCAAATGTAGAGTCAGGGTTAAAAACTTAAAAAAAATACAAGAAAAAGTACAACCCCTTAAATTCTAGGGTTTTACTTATTTTGTACATATTTAGCATTATTGGGTTTTAATTCATATTAACAAACCTTTTCCATTTTGGCATCATATTTGTTAAATAAATAATGGTTTGGTTTAAATAATTTCAGAACCTGGTAAACAATAAAACCCAAGAACTGACAGAGGGTGTACTTTCTTTTTACAATGACTGTATTCTGTGGTTCAAGACGTTTACTTTGTCTACAATTGATATATTCTGAACATTAAAACGTGTTCATTGCAATTTCATTTCCCTTTAGTCTTTAGGCTGCAAAGAAAAATCTTGTCTGGTCTTTCAGTTTGACAGCTGAAAATGCTCTCGCTCCAAAAACACAAGTGTCTGTACATGTTCCTATGGAAGCAAAAATAAAACGGCTCTGAGGGAAAACGAAGGAAATCTGAGAACATCGACATGTCTGGCTGAACCCCTTCCTGGAGGTTTTCGTCCTCTCCTGATGGGGTAGTTTGGACATTTTCTTGTCCCTTCATGGGTAAGGACACACAAGCACAAATTCCCCCAAGAACGACATCCAGTTGTGCGTTACTATTTTCTCTTTACTTATGCTTCGTTTTTCCTGCCAGCTAAGAAAGTAAAAAGGACCAAGGTGAAGCTCGGACAGTTCTATGCAGGCGTACATGTGTGGTTTTTGTCACTTGCTGATAGATCTTCTTAAAGGGAACTTTGTGGTGGTGGTCCAGCTGGGTTTAAAAGTCCATGAAGCTCGCTTCATTGTGTGCTTGCCTACAGTATTTCTAGGTACTGCTGGTTAAGAGTCGGCAAGGGCTGATTTGTGGCATTAGTGCAACTTTTCCAAGTTTTAATGGGAAGGTTTTGTTTATTTCTTTGCATCCCATGTCTTCGTCTTGACTAGCCCTTGGTTGTCTTCCTTGGGGTGAGGCTTCTAGTTTGTAACTGAAGCCCTCAATCACAGGCCAGTGGTTCCTTTAGTTTGGAAGGGGCTTACTGGATTCCTGTTTTATAATAAAACAGACATTTTTAAAAAATCTTTGCCCTGTACTCAAAAACTCAAAGTTTTGAGCCAGTTGGTGATGGCCGGGTTTGTGTGTCCGCTCTTCATCGGAAATAGACTCCAAAGTAGGAACTAGTGGGACTTCCAAGGACACACGGAGAAAGAGAAGAACGTCAGAACTCACTAAGCCAGAGCCGAGGAGTTAGAGGACAAGGTGCGGCGGGTTTTATTGTAAACAGCAAAGATCCACTTCACAATCCCAGGTTTCTTTCTTTTCCTCCTCCTTCTTCTTTCCTCCATCTTTAAAAAGACTACATACAGCAGGTTCTGGGTGGGCCAGGAGGGGAAGGGTCAGGGAGGCTCTAGGTAGTGTTGTAGGTAACAGCGAGGAGAACGGTTATCCCTGTGTGTCTGGGAGCAGGGGCAGACTTGGGTGTTACTGCTTCTGTGTGTGTATATGTGTGCGAATAAGAGTGTGTATTGATGCTCTTTGCGAGAGGCTGTTAGGACTGTTTGAGGCGCTTACGAGGGGGTCCGAGGAAGGGGCACTGTGCGGAGGCCAAGGAGCGGTAAGCTTCAGCCACCAGGTGTGGATGAGATGCAACCATAGACTTCCAACCAGCTGTTTCCATCACTTCTGCTGCATGGCTGGAGGAGAGACAGAGAGACGCCAAACAATTTTAGTTTTTCTCTTCAGCCCATATTAATGCAAAAATATCCTGCATCTCATCAAAAACCACTCAGTTCCACCTATGGTGGAAAATATAGTTTTTTTTATGCATCAGTACAAAGTTCTGACCAGATTTATTGATGCAACTATCGAGGAAAGGGTATTGCATTTCTCCATTACATTTTGTCTTTTTATGTCCAAAGCTAGCAGTAAATCAAATACATTTTTGACCCATCATCTTCTCCATCCTACACAAAGTCTGTGTGAGCTAGAAGTCTGCAAAGACACGTGATAAGAGTCATTATCACACATCCGTCTGAGGCAACCGAGGAGGTGTCAACAGGCCTAGTGAGAAGTCAGGGTGCCCTGATCCTTCAGGAACATCCGGCCTCCTTTAATAATACCAAACCCACTAGTTCATCGTTACACGTATTAAATTATATCAGTAACTCTGACAAAGACACCGAAGGATGAGTTTCCGACGTGAGACTGAGTAGTGGTAGAGTTGACGATGAATGAAGGAGAAACGAGATGAAACCAACTGACAAACTAGAGAACATGGTGGACCTGTGAGTCCCCATGGAGGTGCTGGACGCCCAATTACATGTGACGAAAGGCTCCTTTCTGTGTGTGAACTCACTAGTTGATGAAATCGACTGCCTGCGTTTTGAGCTGGTCGGCGCTGTGCAGATCGGCCAGGATGAGGATCTCAGCAGCGTTTTCCACGGACAGACTGGTGCACAGAGCGTCTTCACACATGACCTTTAGTCTCTCCAAAGCGTACTGAAAGACAGGGACAACATGTCACTCATTCTTTCAGCTGACTTTTATTTTATGGTGATCAAATATAGTCAAACATTAACAAAACAAGTGGTGATTCGTTAGTTTTATATTAATAAATAAACATTTAGCATCAGCCTAAGAGATGCAGCCTCTAGCTGATGACATAAGGGTGAGGCAAATAATCTCTTTAAATGTCTATGTGGTTTTTATGTCTGTCCAGTTAACATTGTATTCCAATGTTCCAATGTGTTTAATATTTCAAAAAAATAAAAATTAAAGCATGTAGCTTTCATTTAATAACACTCATTTTAAAAATCTGTAGAAATGTACTGACATCAAGTTGTTTTTCCCCCCCAACTTGTTTTAGGCAAGAAAGAGCTTAAAGATTTTAAGATGCAGTCTAACGGTTTTTCCACCTATAAATACAAATGAAATTTAGATTTTTAAATATTAAATCTTTCCTTTAAAGGAGGCAACAGTTGCATGTTCAGCTGCTAATGATGGAGCCTGTCTGTCTTGATATGAAAACAATCAATAATGGTATTGATTATGATCAACCTAAACCCACACCCAACAATTTTTCACTTAAGTTATCCTTTTATTCCAACGCTCTCTGGCATCTTAGCTGCTAAACATATAAATAAAGGGTGTTTATTTATTAGCAGTGTAGAATCTGCATGCATGGAACTGGCACAAAAGAATAACTCACCAAATATTTCACCAAAGCCAATTCTGACTGATGTTGCACACAAAAATTAAATTAAATTAAGATTAAAGGCTTAACTTACTGTGCAGCTCTGGTATACAAACACATTGAAATGAGACTCTAATTAGTTGAAACCTATCTACTATGTATTTTTACATGTTTTAATTGGTATATCTAAAATATTTCAAACAAGAAATATTTTCCAATCCGTTTTTGAGGAATGTATAAAAATGTTAGCAGTAAAACCTCTTCTAATAGCACACAGAACAAGAGAAGAATACTTGCTGCTGAAATTCCTTAATTCCAATATATATTGTATCTGTGTTCCTTAAGTACCTTATCGGCTGCTGCAAGCAGGTCGTCAGCCATCTTGTCCAAGTTTGGAGCCTTGTCTGTGTAAATGAAGCACATCATTTCCTTGAAAACTTCTGGCTCTACGTCGTTGATCTCCACACGATTCTGAAGGAGGAAAAACAGATTTATAACAGTTTGTAATCTGTGCAACAGCCTGTGTAATCAGGTTGTAAGAACATCACAAAGGAATTTTCTTAGTATTTTTGGATGTGGAACCACAGAATAGAATCCTGCTTTAGATCTGAAATTTATGTTGTGCATCTAAGCTTCCTGCATGGTTTCATGTTTTATTCAACATGGGAAGAACAATATATAAACACACATACACACACATACATATGTGTTTGTGTGTTTTGAAATGTAAGAAGAAAAAAAAAAAACATCAGCATTGCTGTAATTGCATTTCTCAGTCAAAAGTGGACAACAGATGGGGAGAAAAAGCAATTCTCTGTTTCCACATTTCTGACAGTGAGGGATGAGTCCTGACCCCAGAGTGCAGCAGGACAATTGCATCTGGCTTCCACTGTCATCTAGTTTTAGCAAACACCTTTGTGTTGCAGCTGTTCGATGGCACCCAATCCTTCACTTGTATTTATTTATGTTGTGAGCGATGGCAACCAAAGTAATATTCCTTGTTTGTTCAACAAAGTTGGTGATTAAATTTGATTCTGCATCTGACTTACTTGACAAAAAGAAAGACATACAGTAATCAGGGAACAAAACTGATTTATTTCTGATATTACTTTGGGGGTGGAAACTCACCTTTTTGCTTTCTTCCATCTCGTGCTCAAACATGGCGCTAAATACAGGCGAACGTGCTAAAATGGGAGAAAAAAAAATCAGTACGTGAAGTTTGTATTTGTGGTTTTTAGTAAACGTCATAAGTAAAATGGTAACTTACTTTTTACCCATGCTGTATTTCTCACATGCAACATTTTTAGACTATTTTTCTAGAAAGGATGTTTTACACACGTGGACGCAATTGTTGCCACCCACAATGGTCACAGAAATACATTGGATCTGACAAAAGTAATAATGCAAAGACATTCTCTAATGATGAACAAAAGAAATTCAGATATTGCATTTAAACCAAGCTTCAACCGAATGATTTTAAAGTATAAACTAATGGAAAAGACCTGGACAAACAGATGATACACCTAGAAAAAACTGATAATAATGTAACCAAAGGGACATGTTAAATCAAGGTGTGTCTGGTGACGTGGTGAGTACCACACTCAACATGGACCAAAAGAAGCAAAAGAAAGAGCTGTCTCAGTTGATTAGAAATAAATTCATTAACAAGCATTAAAAATGTAAAGGCCATTAGACCATCTCCAAGTAGCTTAATGTCCAAGCCAACCTCCCTGGAAGAGGAAAAATTATGACAAATCAGAGACATAATATGAACGGTAACAAATTGTCATGGTTTTGGTTCTGTTTAAGTCTTCTTTTTGAGTTTTCATTTGTTTATTTTCATTTTGAGTTGTTTTTAGTTGTAACCAACTTTATACAGAGGGGGTAAACTCAGGTTTCAGCTCTCAAAAACCCAAAATATAGCACTAGAGTTGATTCCTTCCCGCTATCATCTCAACCCCCACCCCCATGCAGGGGACAAAAACATCTTGCCTGGTCAGCCAGACCGACAATGGCCCCTAATGACCCCCGTTCAGAGACATAGACCAGTATCAGATATTGCAGGATAACAAATAACCCAAACGACCCCCCCCCATTGGTTAGATTTGCATGTTTTCGAAGCCAAAACAAGTTTTTGGGCTACTATATAAACTGTGAATTTAGTGCTAATTCTGACATTTTTTATTGAAAAAGCTTCCTGGATGGGAAGCGAAACGTCTTGAAACTTGGAAACAAAGTCCAGTTGATTGTTTGTTTTTGTTTTTTTTTATCCAAATTACTTTTTTTGGAGTTTTTGGTTGTATTTGAGTTCTTATGTATTTGTTGTTTACTCTCTGTGTGGGTCTCCTCCTAGCTCCCTTCTAGAGTCTTCTGTTCACACCTGTTCTTTGTCTGCTAATTAGCTCCCTCATTGTTTCTGTCTCCCATATATGCACCTCCTGTTCAGTTACTCGTTGCTGGTTCCTCTTCGTTTCTTGGCTCTTTGTGTGTTTTCCCTGATGTCCCCTGTTTTTTTGGTTGTCTGTATTTTGTGTTTGGACCTTGCTTTTATTGCCTCAGATCCTGCATTATATCTACAAGAAACCACCTCAGCTTCAGTCTCTGCATTTGGATCTTCTAGAAACCTCCACAAAACCTGACACAAGCGAACACAGAAAAACTTCTAGTTTAAAGAGCAGATTTCAGGTTAGAGGCTCACTTTTATCAGAGTTCAGTTCAAAATCTGTGATAAATTGGTTTTTAAATCAAAATTTATTTGAACTATTTAGGATTTTTGTGTTGATTTTGTAAGAAAATTTCAATTTCGTGTTAAAAACAGTCATGTAGAGAGCCTGTTTACTGCTTACATTTAAAGCAGTGAACCATGGATAACAATGCTAATTTGGACTTTAAGTGTGTAGAACTACACCTATGCTGGAGCACAACCCTATAGTTATGAGCCTGTCGCATAGCCAAGAGAGCAGAGAGAGAACAGGGGGAAGAATTAACTAATTGCTGTTTTGGAAAAATAGCGTCACTTCTGACAGCTTTTCCTCAGAGGCATTTTCCTCCTTTAGTCCGGCAGCTTACTACTATTTTTCTGACCCACAGAAGTAATTCTGGGAGATTTTGCACTGTGATCTGATGCTGCAATGGTAAGCAGTGAGAAACACCAGCTGACAGTAGGGTAATGTCCATTAATTTTTGTGAACTGCCAGAGAAAATAAATCTGGTTTTCTTCCCTTTATTCAGTTTCTTCAGCATTTATAGTGATCCCACTCACAGTTCCCAATCAGCTATCCAACAGGGTGTACCAGATGTCCTGTTCACTGAGCCGTGAACCGTGAACTAGGGCTAGAACACCCTTGGTACCTTAGTCCCTCTGAGGGAACAAGTTTAATTAATTTCAGCTTCAATCAGCAGAGTTTGTGCAGCTCCCGAAAAGGCAAAATTTGACCATGTTTATGATTAATAAACTTCTCCCAGACTTACTTACACGTCCACTCTGCCCAATAACTACTTCTGTCTTTATATAATGTGTCCATTCTCAGCCGGTTGTCTCAACCAAATGTTTTTTATGGCTTCATAATGAGAACAAAGATTATTAATTCAATTCCTTTAAACCCTTTGTTATGGTCAGGTTTAGAGCCTGCATAATATCAGGGAAAATCTGAAGAAGCTGGTATTTGCCAAGAATAATTATAAAAAAAATAGTGGATGGAAAAAATGAGGTAGAAATTGATACATCAACAAGAGAGAGAACCAGAGCTTTAAGAGGACGGTGAAGTAAAGTTCATTCAAGAGTTTGGAGGAGATTATCACAGTGTAAACCGTAGCTCTATAGAAGAATCTATCCTGAGACGTAAATCAGTAGCTTGGTCACAATACTATATGTATATAAATTAATCTGTCATAATATGATTTAAAAATCAGTCAAATCACAAGTTTTCGATTCATATGATGCAATATAATCTGCCCAACTAACACACTTATTTATCTTTAAAGGCTAAATCAGAAGACAACTCTGCTATGATTTGATTATTTCACTGCTAAGCTCTTATAGGCGATTAAATCAAAAGCATTTTTTTCTAATTTTAACACAAAATAATATTAATAATACATCACCTGTTTACTAGGGCCTCTTTACTTATGAGTTTCAAAATAAATATGCATCTCACAAAGATGTGGATTGTTAATAGTTCAAAGTATCGATGTGGACTGATGTTACACCCCATTCAGGACCAAGGATACTTTTTTCTCTTGTTTCAAGCCACTTCTGAATGCAGAACCTCATGGCAAGAGTTAAAACACAGATTTGTTCTGTTTTCCACTTTCCTCTTTTGAATAGAAGTAAATGCAGCCTTTAATTTGGTAACTCAGGTCCAAAAATGTGGGGGAAAGAATCCAAGTTTCCTGAGGTGTTTTTTCACAGTCGGGGATGATTTGTGGAGCCATACCAGCTGCTGCAGCAGGTCCACCATGTTTGATCTGATGTCTGTGAAGATCTGTACCAGATTTTTTCTACTTCCTACATCTCTCTGTTGTCAAGCTTATGAAGATATTGACTTCATCTCTTTCTGTAGGCTGACATTTTTTAATTAAAAACCCTTTTTATTGCTCTCATGTAATGTTCTAGTTTGGGGGAAAATTTTTCTAACAGTAAGTGAAAATGATCATTAATAGAAATTAAATCCTAAACCATCTCATTCTCTCTGTATTGAATCCATTTGTTTCAATTTTAGAATTAAACTACTGACCTTTTTGACAATACTTCAATAACAATGAGATGCCTCTGTTTATGGACCGACTTACCTGCAAGTATGGCTTTATGTGCCTGAAACTCCTGCCCAGCCACACAGAGGGAGCAATCTGTGAAGCGAGAGTTCTCCCAGAGGCCACCCAGCTCGTCAGCTAGCCGGCAGTCAGGTACCTTCACCATGTTCATGGTGTTCTGACCAGATATGTTGACAGAGTCCTGCACAACACTCACCTGAGAAAAATAAAGACACTTAAATACAACGAAACTGCTCTGTGATGAATTATACTGAAAAACAGAAATTATGGGCGAGGAGGGGGTCAGGTACCTCACAAAAGAGTGTCAGCTTATCGTCAGGTAAAAGTCCATTTGCCTCATCGAGGAGGAAATCTCTCCGGATGAATTTTTTAAAACCCCAATCTTTTCCCTGGACAAAGCGATATGCCCTCTGGCTTTCTGCAGAGAGAAAGAGATTTAAGAGTAAGAAATAGTATTAAAAAAAAGACGTAAGGTCTTAAAAGGGCAATAATGTCTTAATAATGTCTTCCGGTTATAGGCTTTGCCTACCCATGGCTTTGGTCTCCTCTCCCTTGGCGTTGAGGATGGAGAACTTGAACTTTGCTCGCACCTCCGCTTTGGGACAGCTCACCAGCAGGAGGTACAAAGAAAGGTAATCTTTGCTTTCCTCGTCCAGGCCTTTGGGATTCACTCGCAAACACCTGATATCAAATAAATACGCAGTTAGAATCTTGTGTTGTGTATTGGTGCTTTAAAAGCGTTCTTGATAAGGATATGGTGGAGAGTTGTGTCATTATGATGTAGCTACAGTGCCTTTCAGGAGCCTTCATTGTCCTGGGATTTGTCATTTTGGAAGGTGGAGTTTAAAAGTATAAAGAACATGTTTAATTTGCTGCCTAACAAACATGTCTTCACCCTCTGCTCTGTGTTTTAAAACAGGTTATTTGACTCACCATTTCAGTTTGTCGTTGGCCCCAGAAGAGAAGGTGGAACTCTTGATGACCTCGCCCATCTCCTCTCGACAGAAGCTGAAGTTGTTGATGGTCCACATGTAGGAAAACTTCACCACTTTGATCTTTTATAGTAACAAAGCACATAGCAAGGTTAGAATTACTTTACAAAGCTGAAGTTAGAGTCACTTCTGACGCTTAAAGTCATGTTACCTGTGTGTAGCACCAGCTCTCAGCAACTGGCCCACTGGACATCTCAGCGGGGGGAGGGGGACTCGGGACCCTTGACATTGCCAGCGTGACAGAGGATGATGCCGGACTAGAGAGTGAAGAGGAGGAGTTGGAATGTAGCCCTTCCAAAAAGTCAGTGTTCGTCCCTCATGTCCATCTGCATCAGGGAACCCCAGCTGGAAGCAGGCTGTCCTCTTCAAACAGAAACAGATCAATAGTCAGTCATTCACAGGCAGTGCATCTTTCATTAAGATAATACTGAATTTATGTTGCAGCATTAGATAAACTTTCGCTGTCCCACTGGAGAGCAACAGTTGATCTGCGGTCCTGGGTTTTTTTTCCAAGATCAATAGGCGAATAAGTGTCAAGAGTTTAAGTATAAACAAACAAGGAATTAGAAAAGTTTAAACGCAGGTTGCTAAATCTAGGTTTAACCTGCATACTGGAAAAAAAGTATTAAATTAGGACAAATGGATCATGATCAATCAATTATTGAAATCATTATCAACTAACTTAGTAATCGATTAATTGTTAACTGGACTATACACTGTAAAACATGCTTTTAGCTGACAGAGCAACGTACTTAGAGCAGTAATTATACAAAGATTACAAAAAAAAAAAAAAAAAAAAAAAAAACAGATTTAAACATTTTGCATTAAAAAAAATTGTCTGTCAGTATGCTCTATTCATAACTCCTCAAGTCGAAAACTGTAAATTTCACCTTGTTTAATTTCATAAAAAATCTTATTTAGAGAATCTTTGGCAATCCGCTTATTACTCGATTAATCAAACTGTAATCGACAGATTAATCGTTTTGAAAAATAATCATTAGTAACAGCCCTATAATAAATAGAAAATGAATTTGATTAAGGGATGAGAAACAAATGAACAACAAAACCCAACAGCGTTAAGGTAATAATATAACATTTTCAGAAAATAACACTTAACTCTTCTAAACTGGAGTTAGATTCGAGCATTAACTAATGAATATGGCCGTAGATTATGATCATATTTCACTGGGCAGGAAACTGTTTAAGAGTGATAAATAGTTGCGTGTAAAAGGACAAGAGGAGAAAATTCACTGCAAGCAGAGCAAAACACACACCACACAAAGCTTACCTTAATAATTATATACTAACTTTATTAAGAGATGTATAGTCTAAATGGAGGAATAAGCAAACCAATTTAGATCAGTTCTGACAGATTCTGAACTCAGGTCTCTAAAATTCAAGAAAAGCATTTAAAACTGCTTATGTTTTTGTAAATGTGACTGGAAGTGATGGTTGGAGTCATCTGATTGCTCCTAAGAAAGAAATCAACACAGAAAAGAACTGAAAAGACAATGTATATATCTATACTTTGGTACTATACTCTGTATTTTTGACCCAACCTTTATATAACATACAGGATCTATTGATAAGGATATCGACACTGATCACCCAATAGTTTAAAGTCAAATATTAAAATCAGGATCACAGCGAATTGATCCCTTTCCTGATTTTTTTTTTAAATAGTGAAACTAAATACAACTAAGTGAATAACTTTTAATTTTTCACCAGCTGAGATGGAGAGTAAAGACGATTGGGGAAGAAAGCAAAGAGGAAGAAGATGAAAGGCAAAAGTGATCTTAGAGCAAAATGAAAAATCAAGAGGGGAATGAAGGATGGAACACCATCTGTGGAACCATTCGCCAAGATAGATTGATAGAAAAAGAGGTTAGAGACAAAAGGAAACCAAAGAAAGGTATGAAAGTGAAATCAAATACAGAACTGTGTCTAGATCACAGTAGTGAGAATGTGTTCCGCATTGAAAAGTTGGGCTTCCAGAGGGAACAGAGTTAAAAGGGTTAAGCTTCATCTATTATTACTGTATATATATCCCCAACTCTTACAGCAGCAGAAGCAAATCGTAAACTAAAACGTTGTTCATCTTATTTTTTGATGGTACATCCTGGTCGAGGAGAGCAAATTTCATTTAACAACCTGCTACCAACCTCTGCAGATTTATTTATTTTTAATCAAACAATATTTAACAACGCAACCTAAGCATGGCATGTTTAGCATACTGGGAAAACAGTTCCATGATTCTAAAACAAAAAAATTAATAAAGATTTTTTTTAAAAATCGTTTTGCAGAAAAGGAAGAACACATAAAAGCTGATAACACAATTCAGAAAGAAATGAGAGAGCAGAACTGTTTTTTTTGTTGTTTTTTTGCAGAAAGGGAAGAAAACACTTGACTGCCAGAGCATAAAACCATTTTTTTCATATGGCACATAAAAAGAGTCCTTCACAGAATTAAGAATGCTTCAGACTTGCAAGGAGAGTTTAAAGAGAAAATGTTAAGCTTGCTTTCCTGTCACGGTCTTTCCTGTTAGAAGTTTGCAACCTTTCCAAACTTTTACAAAAACCCTGTTAGGTAAAATTAAAAAAGTTAGTTACACAGCACAAGTATTGATTTGTCACACACACTACAATCAAACCCTGTGAAAAAAAGCCATCTTTTATGGTTAGACTTTACATCCAAAAGCAAAGTACAGCCACATCTCAAGGTCAGTTATTCTTTATTAGGGCTGGGTATTTTCGCCAAAGTCCTGAATCGATTCGATTTTGATTCATACAGTTCTAAATCAATTCAATCTGTTTTTACATTAATGAAAGTGGTTCAACTGTGTTTCAGAAAACTCATGTATTTTGTTTTTTCCCCGTCACATTAAACACAAAGTGCAAACTTGTAAATCAGACAGTTTAAACATGAGATGCGAACAAAACTGTCTCAAAAGTCCAAACTTGTTTGTGAAAAGTAAAAAAGTGAAGCCTCACGAGCAAGCAGACGTGACACAGCAGACATTCATGAGCTGCATTATCTTCAATGCACAAACCACATTTGCAGCGTTGTCTGTAACAACTAAAGGGTGTTTGCTGCTCAGCCCCCATTTGTTAATGTCTTCAGTCAACCTATTCGCTATATTTGCAGCTGTCTGGCTTAAAGTAATCTTGAGTGCATCTTTCCTGCTTATTTGAATGTGAACGCCATGTGGGTGACTATAAAATGAATCAATCTCATTCCCTAGACATCGATTTTGCAAAAATGTACAGGAATCGATTCAAAATCGATTAAATCGATTTTTTTTATATAGCCCTAGTCTTTATGAAATCTGACCTCTATTTAGGGAGCCAGCTTATCCATTTTGTCCTGATATACTTCCACTTCATGCACGTAAACAAATACTTTCCTTACCAACTATAATATTATATATGGCAATAATTTTATCATGTGTGTAAAATCAGAAATGGATAATACCAAAATCTCTACATTACAGAAAGAATAACATCTAATCATCTATTTGTTTTCTATAAAACATATAGATGATTGGTTTTGACTAGGGCTGCAACTAATTTTATTTAACTAATGTGTTTATTTATTATTTTTCAAAATGATTAATCTGTAGATTATTTTTTAGATTTAGCAATTAATAATTGGATAGCAAAAGGCTCTTTAAAGATGATTTTTCATTAAATTAAACCTGGTGAAACAAAAACTTCTGGATAGAGCATATTGACAAACGAAAACATTTTTTTTATCTGAAATGCACAATATTTATATATTTTCATACAGCTTTGGTATAAATACTGCTCTAAGTGGGTTGCTCTTGTCAGCTAAAGTCATGTGTTAGAGTCTCAATACTCCAGTTAATGATTAATCGATTACTAAATTAGTTGACGATTATTTGAATAATCGATTAATCACGATTAATCCAATAAGTTCTTTCAGCCCTAGTTCTGACCAATAAGGGTTTTTCTTAAGCTAACCGACTGACCTCCTGCAGATATAGTTTAATAGAGAATTATAACATTTCCTCACAGTGGACAAGAGGGCAAATATGTTCAGAAGGAAAACTGAAGCATGGTTGATATGAAAGAGTGCTAGCCTCAGATTAAGAGCTAGTTTTCACCCCCTTGATAATTTGACATATAAACATAGTATACTGTGTTATTACACATTCAGGTTTCCTTTTAAATAATAATAATAATAGATAAGGACTCCCTGTTCCGCAAAAGTAAAACAGTGCACATTAGCCAGTAGGGGCGCAATAGTGGATAAAACTTCCAGGTTTATCCACTTTGGAGCAGCAGGTTAAAGTAATAGTGGAGGATTCTATGACATTTTTTTATATAAACTGCCCTCTCCAAAAAAATAAAATAAAATGCACATGTACAACCCTGCACTCCCTCCCGAGATGGACAGCCTATTAAACGCACGTTGGAGCGCGCAATTAACAATTAGGAGAGTCACTTTTTTTGACGATCCACCTGGAAATGGTATTCATCTATATACTTATTCAGTAGAACCAATGTCCTGTATTTATAGAACCATTATTTATCCTGCATGTGCTGCTATTGCACTTCTGCACTTCTCCTAAACTGCATTTTGTTGCCTTGTACATGTGCAATGACAATAAAGTTGAATCTAATCTAATCTAAAAAAAAAAAAGAACATCCTCCACTATACCTTTAAGATGTCCTTGATCTACATGCAAAGACTAGGCCAAACTCAGTCCACTAGATTAAATCCCATATCAGAGAACTAAAATATGTCTGATCAGGTAAGGGACATATCTTTTATTGTTTTTGTTTTTTTGCCTAAAAACAACTTTTACCTCACAGCTCTTGTGTTTAGGGGGAGCTCAGACTGCTGTAAAGCAGAGATCTGAGTCAATGGCTCATTCCCTAACCTTGAAGTTACAGAGGTGAGTTTTTGATGATAGCAGCCCGCACAGAGTACCAATATGCACCAAGCGCTGTATATTGACTTGAAAATAATTTACTCATTCCACTTCATCTGAGAATGGGTCGCAAGGGCAGCAGTCTCAGCAAAGACTCCCAGACTTCCCTCTCCACAGACACCTCCTCCAGCTCTGCTGGGGGAAACTCGAGGCACTCTCAGGCCAGCTGAGGGACACAATTCCACACAGACTACTTCATAAGTAGTCTGTGTGGAATTAGCCGATTTAAAGCAGGACCAGCCTGATTGATGACTGGTTGGTCAAGAATTCCAAGGATCAGCTTTTGGAATTAATCAGAGAAGGAGCAATATCTGGAAAACTGGATTGTTTTGGTATTTGGCTTACACCGACATGTTCTTGGCAGCTAAAACCTTTTTTGGTTGAAAAATTACAATTTCAATACTAAAAG